CCTAAACCCCTAAACCCTGAACACCCTAGCGGCTTAAGGACTTCGGTTCATGAGGGTCCGACCTAATATACTCCCTATATGTACCCGTAAGGGACCCTAGAAACCCCCTACGGGCCCCATATTAGGGGCCCTACCCCTAAACCCTAAACCCCTAAACCCTAAACCCTACCCTAAACCCTAAACCCTAAGCCCAAACTTCCAAAGGCCCCATGTTAGGGGCCCATGGGTTCAACCTTAGAGCTGCAGGATTCCTTCTCAGTCTTCGGCCGGATCCAGTGCCTTGACTGTGTCTACTGTAGAAGCCTAAATGGGTTTAGGGTTTAGGGTTTAGGGTTTAGGGCTTTCGGAGTTAGGATTTAGGGTTTAGGGTTTGGGGTTTGGGGTTTGGGGTTTAGGGTTTAGGGTTTAGGGTTTAGGGTGTTAGGGTTTAGGGTTTAGGATTTAGGGTTTAGGGTCTAAATATTACCCATATTATTCCCTAGGGCTCCTTATTAAATTTATACTATAAAGGAGCCCCAAACCCTATTCTGTTTAAGGCCTCTGCCTAGCAAGTGTGGTTTTACGGTCCAACGTCCTTGAACCCCTCAACCCGATAAACCCCAAAAGCCAGTTTTTGCATTTATTCCCTCTTACGGCAACCCTTGTGTAACCTGCTATAGTAACCCTCATAATGATCCTCATTTTGACCCTTATGTACTATACCACCAAAAGAACCCTCATAATCGCCCTTAGGCCTTATAGTAACCCTTACCTATAGTAGCCCTTTTCGTGGCCCTTATAACGACCCTCATCCGCGTAGTAAGCTTTATATAACCTCCTACAGTACCCTCCCTGCCCAGGGTTAGCCCTAAACCCGAGACCCTAAACGCTAACGCTTACTGCTAGTAGCACTCATAGTAACCCTAAACCCTTATCCCTAAACCCTAAACCGTTTTGCCTAAACCCTTATCCCTAAACCCTAATTTAACCCCTAAACCCTAAACCCTAAACCCTAAACCCTAAACCCTAAACCCTAAACCCTAAGCCCTAAACCCTAAACCCTAAACCCTAAGCCCAAGGTATGCTGGCATAGACGGAGGGCGGTTGCCACCGGCAGCCCCCTCTCGGCCAGCCCCTTCCTCCCAAGGCCTGGGCCTTGCAGCGTTTGGGTTTGGGGTTTAGGGTTTAGGGCTTACGGTTTAGGGCTTAGGGTTTAGGGTCTGGGGTTTAGGGTTTAGGGTTTAGGGCTTAGTTTGGGGTTTAGGGTTTAGGGTTTGGGGGTTAGGGTTAGGGCTAAGGGTTTAGGGTTGAGGGATTGTAGCAATAACAAACCTATTTGAGTATTCCATTGCTTATCATCTTCATGGCAATAGGCAATACTATTCGTAGTACTAGTGATGATGATGATGATGATGATGATATTGTCAATGGTAGCACTATGAGGGATAGAGGTTTGGGGATGGGTAGGCTTCGGCCATGGCTGCTGCACTTTCCACACCTCCAAACATGACATGCACAAATCGACAAGGATTTAGGGTTTAGGGGTTTAGGGTTTAGGGTTTAGGGTTTAGGGTTTAGGGGTTTAGGGTGTAGTGTTTGGGGCTCTCTGCCAAAAACTGCTACATCTGCTGTACTGTTTTACGCTGTACTGGTAGCATCCTAAGCCGAAGAGGCAAGTACAGATGGCCCCAAACCCGCTACCAAGCAGTGCCAGAATCCGATGGTATAAACCCCCAAACAACCTTAGCTCTAAACGGTGTATCTACCGGTACCTCCAATCTCCAGCCTTCGGCTAGGACCAACCCGCAGTGAATACGGCGGCGTCAAAGGGCGCCCGGCTTTCGGTGGCCCCTCTTTCGGCGGCCATTCTTTCGGCGCCCCCGGCAGGGGGACTGCCCCTGGGACTGCGTTTAACAGGGAAATTGCGGAACGTTGGACCAAGACTGTAAATGATTCTGATTAACAAACCCATCATCAAAATCCAGGTGGATCCTACCATAAAATGCAGAAGTCTGGCTCAAAAGCCTCACTATCATAACGTAGTCGGAATCCTGTACTCGCTTGGGGTAATTACTAACGAAGCCTGGATAACTAGTAATTATTCAATGGTATTCCTCAGTGCTCCGTGTTCTCATGAACAATCCCAAGGCCCTCTTCCAATTATTACGAACCCTAGGCCCTAGACCATAAACAATTTTAGTAGAAGCCCTAAACCCTTAACCCTTAACCCCGAAACCCTAAAACCCTAAACCGTGAACCCTAAAACCGTTTAAGGAACGCTCTAAATGACAGCCCCTGTATCAAGTGAAGGGCTCTCAAACTCAGATTCCCACGTAACCCTGATTTCCGGTGAAAGCAGAGCTTTGGGTTCAGGTCTTTGGGTTTAGGGTTTTCGTTTTTTGGTTTGGGGTTTAGGGTTTAAGGTTTAGGGCTTAGGGTTCAGGGTTTAGGGTTTGGGGTTTAGTACTTACGGTTTAGGGCCCAAGGGACCACCCCCAGCACCGAATGCGGATGCAGCGCGAGTTGCTCTGTGAGGACGGCAGGCAGAGAGCCGCACAAAGCTGGCGAGACTGCAGGCTCCCTTGCTGTTCCCAGAGACTCCAATACCCCTTAATTAAGGAATATACCTTAAATTATAGTAGGATCTCTAATCAGATTTAAGTATATTCCTTATTGGAGCCTCTGGGTTCAGCCCCTCGGATCGCCAGCTCCAGCAGGACGAGTATGTCGGTTCGGCTACACTACAGCAGAGCCTCCTGGCAGGAAATCTACTCAAGTGTCGCAGCGAAGCGCCGGTGCCTGGATTTGGTGCCGGAGATGAAAACCCAGCTCGACCTGTCGACCTGATACAGGTGGACGTCCCCCTTAATCCTCACTCCTATCTGAATACCCAACCCCCCTGAATCGTAAAACATATAGCCGAAATCCGTGCACCCCAAGCCTTTGCAGAGCACTTATCGAAGCCCTTCTGATTCTACCAAGATCTGGAAGCCCTAAGCCCTAAACCCTGCTGATTACCAAGATCTGGAAACCCTAAACCCTAGACTCCCTAAACCCTTCTGATTACCAAGAGCTGGCTTCGGAGATCCGTCCGAGGTCCGATTTGAGACGCCCGACATCGCGGAGGAGGCGGCTGCTGCATTGGACGGCCAGGATCTGCGAGGCAGGGGTTGTCAGGGTTTAGGATGGTTCAGGGGTTTAGGTTTAGGGGTTTAGGGTTTGGGATTAATAGGGTTCATGGGTTTAGGGTTTAGGGTTTAGGGTTTAGGATGGTTTAGGGGTTTAGGTTTGGGATTTAGGGT